TTCGATCTGTAGGTCTATAGCGTAGAAGTCTTAGTGAGTTCCGGAAGCTTAGCTGTAGACCTTCTAGAAGGTAGGCAAGTGGGCAAGTGGTCAAGTGGCGAGGCAAGTGGTGGACTAAACTGCAGTGCAACAGCAGTACGACGTCGGTAGGATAGTGGTGAGTCCACAGTCAGTCAGCGGGAGGTCCAGTCAGTCCCAGTCCGGTCCAGCAAGTACCACGGGGGGACTGTGAGCACCATGGGCTGATGGCAAAGGGCAGACCAACGAGTTTCTGAAGTATAAATCAAGAGGCAGCGCCCAGCCTTTCATTCATTCCTGCGTGAGCCATGCGGAAGCGCTGCCATAGCGACTTGGGCAAGGAGGTCTGCAGATGAGCCCGGAGGTCGCAGTGGGCGAGAGAGGAGGAGTTAGTTTAGCAATAGGTTAGAGGCAGCCAAAGCTGCCATAGCTGTAGTTAGTAGAGAGTGTGTGTGTGTGTCGAGTGTTCAGAGTGATGCGTGTGGGATATCCAGGGTGATCCAGTGTGTGTAAACAGTGAGTTGTTTGGGCACTGAAGTCGCCATAGCCAATGGAGAGTGAACTCGTATCTGAAAGCCATATCTCTGAGTTTTGAGTGGGCGCATGTCGCCAGTTTGATGCCATGCTGTTTACATGCATGAAAAGTGTGTTTGAGAACGAGTCTGATTGCATTGTGATTTTCCACAACAGAAATAGCAGGAAAACAAAATCGAAGAAAAAATAAAAATTTTGATTTTCGGCAGTTAGGTCAAAATCGCGATTTTGGGGGCTAATTAGTATGCGCTAATCAATCAATCAATCAAAACTAATTAACTACTTAGTCCCCGCACACGTGTCAGATCAGGTTGTCCTTGTTCACGTGCGGTGTTCCGATACGAACTGTTACATGCCCAGTTGGGCGATGTATATATATAGCCAAGGATCCGCAATGTGATAAAAAGGACTGAATGGACAATGCAGTGCTAGTGGAATCTCAACAAGCAATGTGCATCCTGATACATACAAAATGGCACGTTGTAGTGCAGTGGAAGACTTAGATATAAGCCCTGACCTGACCGGGACTGATCTCTCTCACGTAGTACAAGACAGCGCAGCAGAATGCTAGAATACCAATGACTAGCCCAATCAATGTCGCAATGCAGTCCAAACATACATCATTCTCATCACAAGGTGTGAAGGGGGCCTGGCGCTACACACAGGAAGAATGCGCCAGGTCCAGACCATACACAGACGGAGAGGAGGGGTTCAGACGAAGAAGAGGGGGAAGATGGGAATGTCGTCAAACCAAGTCTGCGGTACAACTCCCAGATAATCCCTCGTCAAATGTCTGAAGCCCAATGTCGAGTCAGGATCCAACTGTCACCAAGCCCGCTCTCTCGTAGTCTGCTGATGCAGTAAAGTCAGGCAGTGAGAGGGTGAGAAGAGGAAGAAGAAGAACTCACTCTCTCTCATGTGCCAGGTACTAACCTGTGAAGATGGCGCTGTGCTGCAGGTACCTCGTGGACGAGCTGGAGCTATGGCGCTGCAGGTAAGTCTCCCTGGCCTCCGCCGAATCTCTCGCTCTCTCCAGTGCTACTCTAGCTCCTAATAGCCCAGCAGTGAAGACTACTGCTAACGTTACTACTACTACTGCAGCGCTCCTCCAGAGTGCTGCTGCCGAATCTGGACGACTACCTCCTGCCTCCTGAACTGCACGTGAAGTGCCTGGGAAGTCCCTATGAACTATCTGCAGCCTGCAGGGCGGGCCAGTCTTATATAGTGCTGGCCCGTCCAGGAGGCTGCTCTTGCCAATGCCAAAACGTGCCAGAGCCTGGCATTGAAGCTCAAACAAAGGTTGTCTTGAAAACAGACCCAAAATGGCCTGTGCTAAAACCCTGGTCTGGTGCCTGAGTTTCAGGGCAGGTCGATCTGATGAGGGCCTGAAAATGGCCCTCCATTTCAGGCTGAAAAGACTCAGGGCCTGGAGGGCCCTGTTTTAGGCTGAAACGACACAGGACCTGTAGGCCCTTGTTTTCAGGCTTTCAGGCTGAAACGACACAGGGCCTGTAGGCCCTTGTTTTCAGGCTTTTAGGCTGAAAACGACACGGGGCCTGTAGGCCCTAGTTTTCAGGCTTCTAGGCTGAAAACAACACAGGGCCTGAAAGTGGCCCTCGTTTCAGGCGCAGCATGTTGCAGGTGCAGCATGTCAGTAGACTCACATAGAGACTTCTAGAACAGGCCTTCCTCAGCCTAACGGTAACAGATCTAACTCCTAATCTGCAGACCTAGGGATCAAGTCCTACTGTCCGACCTACAGACTAGCGTAGGACGCAGGGCAGGTCTAGGGATTGAATCCTACTCAGCTCACTGGGTCTAGTACAGGTATAGGGTAGGTCTAGGGATCGAATCTCACGCAGCACACAGGTTCAGTGTACAGGGTTAGGGCTCTGGGGATCGAATTCTGTGTCTGCAAAGTGGGGTCAACTGAGAGAAACCATTTCAATGCAATGCGAATAGCAATAAACCTGATTGCAACATCTTACAGAAGACTACATATCATTGAGCCAAAATTGAGGCAGAAAGCAAAGCGAGATCACACGAAATAGCAACGTGCAAAGCATTGAAATCTCTTGATGTACCTCCAATCACCAATGCAACAACAATGTAGTTCCCTATGGGCAGCTATCCGCCCAGGCTCACCAGCTACATTCCTCGTCACATTGTGCTCGTCTCCTCCTTCCCACAGCCCTTCTTCTTCTGAAAGGACCTCCGCTACTCCACCATTCGGCTATGGTCCGAGCAGCTTAGCTATGTCAGCCGGAACACTTTCTCCCTCGCTGCCTCCACACAGCTTCCTCCTCTGGCCGCGTGGTTTCAGCGTGTGCCCGAGCAGCGGTGCTGCATGCGGGATGCCAGA